TTAGAGCGGACCCATATCATTTATATTTGTAACGATAAACGCGCATCGTGCACCAGGCATTCCGCCTTCTTTTCCTGCTTTTCAAATTGTTACCCAAATTTAAGTCCGAATCGCCTTCGTAAAGCTTAGACCTTCACAATACACATTCTGACTGGCTAAATTCGATGCGACGATGAAGTGGATGTAAGCTAAAAACGTTTTGTTTCACGCGATCTCGTATCTACTCGCAGAGTTTGAGGGGTACATGTTACTCGATCAAGGCAGCCAAAATCTGCTGATCTTCCTCGCATACATCGTCAGCATGAGCCAACACAGCGTCGTGCATACGTGGGATTGCGCGGTGAATGCACTCACTAGCAGGTACCATAGCAGATGCCGATTCTTTCTTCCACTCACGGAGAAAGTAGCAGAAACTCTACATGCAGCGGTTTGTGGGAAGCCTGGTTAAGGTCAGTGACCTTCATCCTATACTTAAAACCAGTACGAGTGTAGCGGATCGCTATCCACTTACTCCAATAGTATTTACAACCTTAACCCAAGGCAAAAAAACTCTTCCGTTTAAACGTAAACTTTTGGTTTTATTTTTATTTGCGGCAAAGATAGGTTTTCCTATCCATAAATAAAAACCTAATGAAATGTATAACAACTTGCTGATCCAGCCATGTACTGACTTCTTATTAAGGTGTAGCCACACCATTGTGGGGTCACAATATCTTGTGTGACTCACAGCCTTCACAGCAGAGCACGTGAAACCCCGTTACGCTCTCCCCTATAAAGATTGTGAAAACCTACAGCTCACATTCACCTGTCGACTCAAAGTAGGCTCGCGTGTCTAAGACACCAGGACCTTCTTCGTGAGATCTCGGCTTAACGAACCCTGTGTCGAGGGCCCAGCCTCGCTGGTTCCCAGAACGCTCGCAGGCAGAGCCCTTTTTCGTCTCCTGCACGCGGTGCAACTTTGGACAGCACGTCCGCGGCTTCAAGAGATGCGCAAGCCAAGCTCTTGGTGTAACGGGATAACACGTACCCTGGTTACAGGTGTGTGAGTCACACCAGATGGGCATGGTGTGACCACACCAAGACAAGAATATACGATACGGGGCTAGATAGCCATTAGTTATATATGTATTCAGCTTTTACTTTACATACTTAATAAAATCTATGCATTTAAAATTAGGCGGCTTTGCCGAAGGTAAAAAAATAAATAAATAAAAATCCGTTTTGAATTTAAACCTAAGAGCTTATTATACTTGAGTTAAAGTTCCAATGACTCTTGGAGGTAGCGGATTGCGATCTGCTACACTCGAACTGGATCTTATAAAGCAAGAAAGGTCGGAGACCTTACTTACTCTTCTTCAAAGCGCAAAGCTACGATAGCCCCGCTGCACTTGGTAGCACTTGTAGTCAATCTACACCTGAATCGTTTAGACTGATCCTCAGTGAGGAGTGAGGATGGAACAATTTTCCTCCTTGCCTCAGGGCATGCAGGACGGGCTTAAATGACTGATGTACTTGCTGGGCTATGAGGGCGTGCAGCACCTTGCTGCGCAAGGGCCGCGCATCTAGATGCG